AGAGGATTAGGCAAATTGTACTTACCATGAAGGATAATCCCAATTATACCTCACACGAACTATTTGGGTATATCTTCCCACCCTTGCTGTTCTTCAGCTCCCAAGTAGCTGAAAATGCCCACCCTTGGTGAACAGCACAGACTCTTTCTCGCACGTCGTCAAATGGCGGCGAACAATGTCATTACGTCATGATATCCCGTGATGCTTTGCGATTAGAGCTTTGTACACGTGCGCCACCTAGCGATAAGCATAGGAAATACTGCATAAGGTAAATGATATACCCAAATAGTTCGTGTGAGGTATAATTGGGATTATCCTTCATGGTAAGTACAATTTGCCTAATCCTCAATTATACATAATTATACATACAATGTAACCCTTTTATCCATTATACATAATTATATATAATGAGTTTGGCATTATACATAATTATATATAACATTTTTATGTATAATGGTACAAAGGGTTATACGTAATGGTCCAAAGGGTTATGTATAATTATGTATATCAGTCCATGTTGTTCTTATTACCTTCGCCAAGAAGGTTATGTTTTCAGTAGCGTTTGTCCGTCTGTTTGTCAGTCTGTTTGTCTGTCTTTGAACAGCATAACTCAAGAAGGTTGACAATGCATTGTCATGAAACTTGGTAGGTGGGTAGGTCTTGATGAGACCTAGAAATGATTACATTCAGATTTAGATTATAACATTTCTCATTAATTATGCAAATTAAGTCTTCATTTTATATAATCAATATCTGCCTGTCTTTTTCTCATTCTCAATTACATATGTCACAAGCTTTAATAGTTCTATCATGGAATGAAGCTGATTTTTAGAATTTCCTCATAAATTATGTAAATTGTGTCCATATTTCAATAGCTGTCATATCATTATTTTTTAAACAAATGCCCCTGCAGTTCCAGAGCAAGCCGCTAAGGAGGCCAAACTCATCTCATGTGTTCCCCAGCACAAGAACTACATTGTACCTACCACTCAAATTTCGTGACCCTAGCTTTTCTAGATCATGAGATATCAAAACTGGAATTTCAGCTGCAGTACCATAACAAGCCAACAGGGGGCTCAAAATCTAATAATTTCCAGGTCTCAGCAAGACCTACCCACCTACCAAGTATTAAGACAATCCATCAATTGAAAGTCTTCCAAATGTTCCATAGAATAATTCAAACGTGCTTTAGGTTCCGGGTTGGAGTTTAAATCTGACCAGAGTCTAAGTAAGTGCGCAGTAAATCGCCGGAAACGTGACTTTGAATGGTATGTTTTGGCCGCGATATCCCTGAAATCGTAATATCTGTGTACATATATTTGTATTTTCTGAAAAGCCTGTTAGTTGTAGCCTTTATAGGTGGCGTAATGTTGGTGGTCCAGCGAAGACTTCCTGGTATTCGTCCGCGTGGATGGTTATGTGGCCTTTTCGCCTGACCGCCGGGATTGTACGTTCTATATGCGTTGTGGGTGTGTTCGGGCCATCGAAGATAGCGATAAACTTATCGCATCGATTTTAATTAAATTCAAATTTTGGAAACATTAGGTTCTGAGCTTCTTCGAGTACTAAGCCGTTACCCTGGGAAAATTAGTTTTTTCCATGCAGCCATGGTTACAAATGACGAAAAAAATGACCCCTTATTTAAAGATGTACTTTGATGTGCCTTATTTACCCCTAAATAAATTAGGCGCAGAAAATATCAATCAAGTGTATTAATAAGCGGCACGGCACCCCTTTCCACCAAAAGAGTGAAAAATTCCGACCCGTGTTTAGTACAGAAATGACAGCCCGTCGGGCTGAGGGTGTCAAATTGCTCGAAATACGGAAGGAAACTCCGGTCCGAGACCTTTACCTTAGCCACGTGTGCATCTTTTGAAAATTCAAATACCAGAATCAGACGTAAGGATTGATGTTGTTGCATTTTTTATTTAGGGATACCACTTGTCAGCATATTTTGCATTGAAAGGCATGTTTTCCTGGGTGGGTATTTGGCATGAATAAAATACAACACGGTTCAATCCGCATCACCCGGTCCCAGCCCACCCACAGAGTGGATCTTACTCCGGCCTTCAGCTGTTGGGCAATCCAACCTCGCGGTCGGGCTGGGACCTTGGAAGATACGGAATACACTGTGATATATTCTATATGCATCATAATTTGTAAAAATAAGCTTGTCTATGACTTCATTTAGGCTGTTAAGTTACGTACTTAAGACTTAACTCCTTGAGTGTAGATTTGAAGTTTTTGCAGTAAATTGCAGGTTGGTGTTTGAATCTCCTGATTGACAAAGTAGATAAAATACAGCAAGAAACAGCAGAAGAAGTACAGCATTCTGACTGAGTCGTGAGTTCTCTTTTATTGTTCAATACAGATTGAAGCCAGGATGCCTGTGGGCACTCCAGACTACATTGCCCCTGAAGTGTTAACAAGCATGAATGGCTCCAGGCAGGACTATGGAGTTGGCTGTGACTGGTGGTCTCTGGGAGTTGTAGCTTATGAGATGTTGTATGGAGACACGCCCTTTTCTGATGAATCTGTGGTGAAGACTTACAGCAACATCATGAATCACAAGGTCAGAACATCTCACTTTAACAGCTGATTCTGAAGGGGAAAAATTAAACTCTTCTCCAACTCAAAGAAAATTGACTCACTGCGGTAGTTTCGACTGAGTCTCTCAGTCTTTATCAGGTAACTGACCCATGTACACATGTACTTTAGGCCACAGCAAGTAAATTTTATGGATGACATCCTCCACAGACTCGAAATCTAATGCGAGCGGGCGAAAAAAAACAAGGTTTCTACATTTTCAAATTTTGACTCAAACATTGTACAAATGGTTTTGATTCAGTGGGAACGATCACATATACACAGCCAGCATCACATATCACTGCATCAAAGTAAAAAAACAACATTATTCAGAACCTTTTCTTGTCTCCTCTCTTCATATTTATCTGCCATCCACGTTCCGACATGGCAACAGACACCTTTGCCCATTTTCGACATGTTGACCACTGTCAGAAGGCAACAAAATTTCTTGTTTTTTTTCCCAAAATCAGGCGAAAATTAATGCGCGCGTTGATGTCATCCATGAATTTCCTTGCTGTGGCCTTAGATACAATTATTGTTTTTTTCCCACTTGTCAGCACTGGGTCAAAGTTTGTTGGAAGTCAGTACCGCTCCCTGTCCAGGTGTAGAGAAGGCGAGAGAAGTGAAGAAAGCATCTATACATCAGGGCACACCAACTGGGAAGTGAGGGCAGTATCAACTTCCGATGAAGTTTGACCCAGTGCTGACATCACTTGTGGGAAAATAAATCATGTGTCTACAGCTTGGGTCAGATAACTGATGAAGGCCGAGAAATTCAGTCGAAAGTTCTGATGAGTCGAATTTCTTTGAGTTGGAGAACAGTTTAATTAATTTTTCACTATGTAAATTACTAAGATGAACTTTCATGATAGCTAATTCTGAAGAGATACATGTAGGTTCTTACAAGTTCTGTACCCTGAGCTGTTACAAGGTGGATTTTTGAAGGCCTGGTAAGTGTAACAGTTCTCTCTAAAAGACTCTAAGGCTTGTTTTTCCAGGTTTCATTGAAGTTCCCTGCTGAGACAAGAGTCAGCAAAGAGGCAAAGGAGTTGATCCAGTGTTTGTGTTGTGAGGCCAAAGACCGCCTGACTTACGAAGAAATCACATGCCTGCCCTTCTTTACTGGAGTGAACTGGACCAACCTCAGAGACTGTAAGTGCTTTGTGAAATTTACAATAAGGCAAGTTATATGCATGATGTATACAGATGTCAGAGTAGAGATCTTTTATATAGAATCAGTGATTCTATCGGCACTGCCTCCCTGAGATACATTTTGTAAGAATTAAAACAAGCTTATTAAGGGTCCACTGAGTGAGACAAATATCCAGAGAACTGGGTGGAGGTGTGATGCACTGGGGCTGCACTGGAGCGCCACATGCACAATAATGATCCACACACACATGTAGTGGAGTATGATGGGTAATGTAGCCAGTTTTCACTGCCAGCAACTTAAAGTTCAAAATAGAATCATTATTAAGTTAAGGACTTCGACAAAAAGCCTGCAAATGTAAAATAAAATCTGATGTTAATCTATTTTATGGCCGGTATGACTGCCCTTGGCCATTATTTTCACGCATATGGGAGAGGGAAGATATCAATCACCCACACATGCCAGTTGCTGTGTAGCAAGGCAGGGTAGGAAAGGTGAACCATTGCGCGATGGAAGGTTTGAGATTACAGGAGATTGAAAAAAAAAAAAAATTTGGGCGGGAGGCTATAATGACATTGTAGGAGGGGAAAGGCGATTCATGGTCGTGTTATACATTTTTGTAAGTTTGTGATTGGAGCAATTCAGTTACTGTTAATATAACTGAAATTCATATCTGTGATGTCATATGTGTAAACAGGATCCGGAGTGGGTGGCATTTTGCTAATTAGAAAATATTTGACCTGTCCGACACCAAAGTTGACCTTGCAGTTAGTCAGCTGAACAACAGAAAAGTATATACCGCGGCTGCAGTACTAGGGATAATCAGTGCAGAATTTTGGTTTTTATCCCTGAGTTTTTATCCCTGAGTTTTTATCCCTGAGTTTGCCTGAAAATTGATGTTTTTCCTACGTATCAGGTAACGCGAATTAAGCTAGGAGTCCCAAAATCACACCGTTTGGTCCCACCCCTAATAGCTATCCAGTCTGTTCAAAAATTATTCACCTGACACTTGTGGAAATTTCACCTCAACTTTTAACGTTACGCTGCAATACCTTAAAAAGCCACTAGAAGGCCCATTATCGAACTTGACATCTGGCATTCATGTTCCTACCCAAAGACTGAATAGCATTAAAAACCGCTTGTGTTTTCTCAAGTTATGTTGTCTACAAACAGAAACCCCAAAATACACACTGTAACTGCTTCACACCTACCCAGTGTTTCCGCCAGGCGGCCGTCCAGCCGTCCTTTGACGCCCTCTTCCCGCTGGGGACGGCCTAGGCTCGTGAGGAGGCCGTCCCAAGAAAAAAATGATACCGTATTTCTTGTAGGACCGAAGGACCAGACGTCGATATATATTTGATTTTCACTCGGCTATTCAAAGATAAACTTGTTAGATATATTTTCAAACATGAGAAAAGTTTATTTGCAGGCATTTATCTCTTGAATACGACACAAAAATGTGTCTCATGCACCGCTCACGGCCTCCTCAGCTAGCTGCAAATCCTGCGTCACATGTCCACATTTCGCGTCTCTGATTGGTTGTTGCGTCGGCCGCTGCAGCGCCAGCGGTAAGATTGAGCGAGCCGACGCGCGTGTAAACAACTTTTCTTTGTTAGGATATAAGCGCTAAAATGCTATTTTCCACAACCACACATCGATATTCTAGTGAAGAAATATATAGTTTCAAGAATCTTTCGGGTAAATATATATTTCTATGCGTATTTTTTGCATTTTCAGCGTTAGTTTGAGGTACACTTACCCCGGAAGTATACGGACCGCGTGCGTTTCTCGTAGCGTAGCCACGCTAATTTTTTAGTGTTTTAACCCCGAGTTTTACCAATCAAAACAATAAAGAACTCCCGCTAAGGAGAACCCAGTAACATGTCAGATGCCAGCAATTATGTTTTTGATCAAAATTATGGATGTGCACATATTTCAGCCGTATTCGTCCGCGGGAATTCTTGACGCAAACCTACCCCGCGAACAGGAATCAGGACCGCCGGCCTTTATCCGGAAGTTGCCGCCGCATTAAAGTTACCTTTACTTTAACAATTATTTGCCTCTCAGAATGCGGGAAATGGCGTTTAAGAGGGTTAAAATTTCAAAATTTCCCGGGGGAGCATGCCCCCGGACCCCCCTAGTATAAGCTCGCGCCTTCGGCGCTCGTGGTCGGGCCTTCGGCCCTCCGGTTGGGACGGCCCTGGCGGAAACACTGCACCTACCAAATATCATTAAGATCCATTCAGAGTTTTTTTGACTGTCATGTACAATCCACAAATGTACAAAAAGCCCGCTACAATTAGATTGATAAAAGTTATTTTTTAACTTTAAGTACATTTTAACAACAGCTATCCACACACTAGAAATTAAACAAGTGCTTTTAAAAAAAGCAGTCGTTTGCGGTCATTGTATGTTTGCACAACAAAATCGTATGCAAAAAGTATGTTGTTTTTTTGGGGGGGATAAAGTGATGATAAAGTCTTTGATTGACTAGCTATGCTATACTACATACACATGTACATTGGGATTGTCACTATTGGCATGTAGATAGTTTAGAAAAGATAACC